TGCTGCGCATACTTACCCGTTCTTGAGCAATCACGATCCAAAAAGTGTCCACACTTATATGGTAGGCCACTGTATAATCAGAAAAAATTATTTTTATTTGTATATTGTCCCGATAAAAAAAAATTATTAAATAAAGAAGGGGTTCTAATTTTTACGCATTTGTGTAAATAAGTGTTTGTCGTTATTTATACTGTTATTTCGATTCCACTCGTAATTTTTATTGCCATTTGAGGCGCACCTTTGGTGCTAAAAATTCTCGATCATACGAGTAAATATATATCGTTAACAATAAATACACATGCAAAAGTAAATGCGATTATGTATGCAAATCGGCCACCAGGGCCAGCTTTATTACTGCTTTATAATTACAAATGCATACTACATTTCTTTATAGAATGGGGATTAATTTGATTTTGCTATCTAATTTAGGGATGAAAAATAAATACATCTAATTTATTCTCATTCTGATATTGTTCCTAATTTCTATATTATAACTATTGCGTAACCTATAATCAAGTAGAGGTCGTTAGTAATATGAAATGCAAAGCGATCAATCAAAGAAATATTTATAATGGGATGCACCATTATTTCCTCAACATCAGTAACATGCTTCGTATTATTATTCGTATCCCACCAACATGCAGTAATACGGATTTTTGTAAAATCGAGGTCGTGCCAAAGGTATACTACTCTAAGACCCTTTGCAGTTGAGATTTGGTGGGCCAGCAAGGTTCCGAAATGGCGTTTTCTTCACAGGTGAAATGAATAACCCATGTTTCATCTGCAGGTAGTTTCTTATCGTATAAGATTGCCCATTCATAGTGTTCTTTAAACTCTTCTTTTGTTGCTGTAGCTAAAAGTTCTAATGCAATAGTCGGATGATCAGGTCGTGAGATGACTATGTCTACGTATTTATTATTAATATGTCCACCAGCACGATATTTTAGATGCCATTGTCCTGTTACTGTAAATCTACTAAGCCAATTAGACATGACCCGGTAAAGTTCTGCGTCATAAACCGATTCCCTAGGAACTTCTCTATTATTTGCATTATTAACCGGCACATGTGCTATTTTAAAAGAGTTGTTGGATTTTATTGTTTCTTGATCAAATACACGAACAACTTGTGTCAAGGTCGTAAGAATGTCTAAGACACCCGTTGAAGGATGATAGGGAACTTCTACTTTAGGAGAAGTCGGAAATACTTTAGGAACTATTTGCTAATAGATTAGCGAGCGCACCAAGGGCGAAGAAACTTTATATGTTCCAGCATCTTCTCCAGGGATCAGAACTCCTTCTGTTGTGAGAAACATAGCTAGATCGTTTTGCATCCCAGCATGTACAGGGTCAAAATTCGCCAAGAAATCGGTCCGGAGGAGTCTCACTGCTTGTTTTATATCAGTATCATCTCTCAAAAGGGTACTTTTCATCTTTATAAACGTCGAATACTCTAAAACCTCATTTCCTAATGAGAAGGTGGTGAAACGTTGCCATATGTCATAACTCAAGTGCCTTCCCTCTGAAAGTAGCTTTCTATAAATTGCACGTCCACAAAGGCAGACAAGACCGGCATGTCTGTTGAAAGAATATAGTAGTAAGAAAATTAAGATTTAATAAAAATAATATTATGTAACTCCAGTCACTTACCCGTTTGTTTGTGTATATATATCCTCGATTACCTCCTGGTCAATGGTTAACTTGTATTCATCCGCGAATTCTTTGTATAGAAACTGCACTTGCTTCCAAGTAAAGTTTGGGTTCTGGAATGGTTCATTAACGTTGAATAGTGATGTGGTCAATTTATTCGAATTTAAATGTAGGATACTGAAAGGTCCAATGGCAAAGACAGACTTGATAGCATAATAATCCTTTGTCGTTTTAATACCACGGAGAGTACTTAGACACGATGAACGAACGTCATCTGTTGCAGAGTATAACATATCAAACTCATCGATAAGGAAAACAACGGGATTTTTTCACCTATCTTTTTTAAATGCCATATAGAAATCACTAGCGGAATTAATGCTATCGAATCCGATCTGATCGGGAGCGCTAATGTGGAGAGGAGTGCCAAATGTTTGCCAGAATTTGTCTACGTTATTCATGTTAACCTGCTCAAGAGATAAACTGTTCTGAAGAAAAGTGAGAA